CGGGGGGGGGGGGGGGGGGGGGCACAGCTGGCGACTCCCAGGCTTGCCTGCAGACCAGCCTTGGACTCACCCCACGGCTCGCTGCCCCATGCCTGGGGCTTAGTGTTCCGCCACCCAACCCGCCCCCTCTAAGAGGCTTTTCCCTGAGCTACCTCAGGCCGGGCCCCATGGTGGGGCTCCCAGTCCCAGGCCCCTCCAAGGGGGGCTAGAGGGATGGGGAGACCCCTCCACCTCCCGGAGCCCAGGCACCTCGGGCAGAAGACACATAGAGCCCTGCCCAGGGTGGTCCTGGTGTGGCTGGGGGCACGGCCCTGCCCTGGAGAGACCCCACCAGCCTAATCACCTCCGCTCCTCGCCTGCCTCCCACCCCCAGGCCACATTCCAGCAGGGGCCTCGGTGGCTTTCCCCTGGATAAGGCTAATCCAGCCGGATAGCCTGGGACTGAGGGGGCAGTGAGGGGCCAGAACAAAGGTGGCTGTGTCCCAGGCCGCCTGAGGGGGACTTGCCGGTGGTCCCAGACCTCAGCTACTGCCCCCCTTCCTCCTCTGGAGAGGCCACTGTTTCCTGGGTGACCCCCTGCTGAAATGAGACTGGGCCAGCCATGGGGGAAGACAGGTTGAAGGATTCAGGGCAGACCCAAGGACTCCCTTAAAATGAGGGACCTGCGGGGCTGGGGATGAGCAAGCCCTCACAGGGAACAGCCAGGGACCTTCACGGCCTCCTGGACTCCATCCTCCAGGGGAGGTCGCCATCCCCAACCCCCCGCCCTGTCCCCCAAATCAGACACCACCGGTCCTGCTGCCATGTCCACTTGCTTTATTCCTCACCGTTTACAAAAGTGAAACAGAGGGACATGTGTGGGGAAGGGAGGGGATGAGCAAGGGGCTCCTCCCCACTGGGGCAGAGGAGGAAGGAGGTTGGGGGGCACGAGCCAGGCCCCCCAGGGAGAGTCCTGGGGCCTCTGGAGGGGAAGAAATGGTTCTGTCGCCCAGTTCCGCCTGCTTTGTTTGAAGGCCCCAGACCCCAGGCCAGTGCCCTCGGAGCTGCTCAGGCTGGGGGTGCGGCTGGGGAAAGGCAGCCACCCCCCGTATCAGGGCCCCCGGCCTCTTGGACCCACTGCTGCTGCTGCTGCTGCTGCTGCCGCCGCCAGCTCTGGGCAGCCCCTGGGCAGGTGTGCGGGGGGACGACCTCAGACCCCTGACAGAGGAAGGTGCCTCAGCGGATGAGCGGTGCTGAACGGTCATTGGTGACGGTGGGACGCAGCTTTACGGTGGCAAAGGGGTTCGTGCCCCTGGAGGGGGAGAGGTGGGGTGAGAGGGGTCCAGGGAAGGCAGCCGGGCACCTGAGCCAGGTGCCCACCCCTCCGTCCTGCCCCCACTGGGTCAGCTCCACTGGCCCCGAGCTTATACCCCCCACAGCCCTCCACTGAGCCGGTCCCCTCTGACCCCTGCCTGAGGACTCACCGAGGGAAGAGCTCTGGGGGCGGCTGCTCCCAGGATGTAAGTTTCTGCAGGGGGGATGGAGGAAGGCCTGGGTTTGATGGGGAGAGGGACAAGCGAGCCCCTGCCCTCCCTCCCCCCACTCCAGGAGGACAGAGGACTGGACCAGAGGCCCCGAAGTGCTGGAAAATGAGGCCCCAGCATTCCGAAGCCCAGAATGGGGTGGGTTTCCGACCTGAGAAGCCTCTGGACCAGAGCACCATCTCCCGGGGCTGACCACCACCCGCAGGACAAGACCGGGGTGACCCATGGGACGAGCTCTCCCCGCCCCACCCCTGTCCTGCCCAGGCCAGCCCCAGCCCAGGCTCTGATCCAGGACCCTGGGCCTGGCCTCTCTAGGGTAGGGGGCAGGTCCACCCGGAGCTCCAGTCCCCGAGAGGAATGCTTTCCCTCACCCACCACCCCAGACTCAGAAGCTCATCTCCCGCATCCCTGCACAGACAGGCAGACAGGCCAGGGCGGGAGGGTCCCCTGCCATACAGCCCGTGGCAGAGCAGGGACGGTTACCTGGTCTCCAGCACCCCTGCCCACTGGACGACCCCAGGGTTGAGGACAGGCTGGGGGGAAGGGCTCACCTTGACGTCACTGGTCACCCCCATGTTGCCCATGCTGCTTCGGCGGCTCCCAGGCAAGGGTGTGGGTGCAGGGCTGGGGGCGCGGCTCGGGACCCGGCTCGGGGTTCGGGAGCGGGACTGGCCATCCCAGTGCTCAGAGGACGCTGTGGAGTTGCCCGGCCGGTCCAGGAGGTCATCAAGGCTGTGGCTGCCCCGGAGCGGGTAGGACCTGAGTCCAGAGAAAGGTGGGGAGGGGAGGGGGTCGGGGGCAGGCCCTGCTGCCCCCGACCCTGTGTGCTGGGCTCCTGGGCATCCTACAGCGTCCTGCCCTGCCGCCGCGTGCAGGAGACTGCTGGCTTAAGGCAGTGCTGCCAGGGGCAGAGGGACGGACACAGGCTTCACATGGGCGATGCTGCTGCCCTGTCTTGAGGGGCAGAAGGGGGCTCAGGACGGCAACTCACAGCTGCCCCCTGCTGGGTGGGGCCACCCCCCACTGAAGTCCCCACCCCTGCCCACCCAGGTACCTGGCAGGTAGCTCATTCATAGGGTTCAGGGGGTTCATGGGCATCTCCTCCAAAGGCTTCACATAGGCCTCGGGGAACCAGCCGCTCCTGCGGGGCGGAACCGAGGGTCCCATAAGCAAAAGGCCCAACAACAGTGGTCAGAATAACTCCCCTAAGAGCAGCAGACCGTCGCTGGGCACTGCTGTGTGCCGGCCTCGCTCTCGGCTTTGCCAGGAGTAACTCATCTGATCCCTGGAAGGAGGTCTTTCCCGACATTCAAGGCCACCTCTCCAGCCTCATGTCCCACCAGGGGGTGGGGCACCGTAGAGAGGAGGAAGTGGAGAGCAATGTGTCCAAGGACATGTGGTGACCGGCTGCATTCTCTACTCCTTGAGCACCAACCACGGGAGGGCCCCCAGAAAGCCAGACACGGTTCCTCCTCCCGGAGGCTCCCCGCCTGGCAAGGAGGTAGACCTGCAAGCAGATGCTCACAAGGGCGACAGCCAAGGGGAAGGGGCGGGGGACCACAGACAACTAGAGGAGCCCAGAGGAAGGGGCACCGAGCCCAGGGTGCCTGCCTCCCAACCCAGCGCTTTCCTCCTCGGCCCACCGCTTCCCTCCGCCCTAGGTGCTCTGGTTCCCGTGAGCCCAGGCCCCCTGCTCTGGGCGCCTTTGCCTGGCTCGAGGCCGTTACTGTACTGCAGAGCAGCGGGGTGGGGGCAGTGGTCCACGTTGCTGAGCCTTTTCAGACTCCACGGAATCCATCAGATTCCCGCAGAACAACTGGAAAAGTTCTCCAGCAGCCCATCAACAGCGTTCTCACCTAAAGGTGACCGGAAGCTACTGCAACTCACACTGAGCATAAAACCATTTCACTACCTCTCAGTTCTGTTTTCACCATCAAGTGCCGACTGACGGTAAAACTTGCCATCGTTTTCCCTAACCTACGAGTCACAGAAAGAACGCGGACATCCCAGGAACGCGGTTTGAGAGCACCCATCTAGGTGGTTTCAGAATTGGGTCCCCAGGAAGGGGGCTCCGGCCCTGTGGCGGGGACTCTCAGGGCGGCACCCCCGCTGCCCTCTGGGACTGCACAGCAGGCCGTTTCGCCATTCGTGTTCTCAGGAACCCGTCTACCTACCGGCCCGCCCTTCCATTCTGATCCATGGACAGTCATGAGTCGCTTAACGACGGGGACACGTTCTGAGAAATGTGCTGCTACGTGATTGTGGTGGTGTGCAAACATCCTCGAGTGCACTTACACAAACCTGGATGGTGTAGCATACTACACACCTAGGCTCCATGGTACTAACCTTACGGGACCACTGTGGCATATGCAGTCCGTCGTTGACTGAAATGTCGTTATGCGGCACATGACTGTAGTTACCTGCCACCCACCCGTCTATCCACACATCATCGCATCCATGATCCACATGGGCAACCACCAGTGGACAACCAACCCACTAACCCTCCCATCGGCACTTGCCCACCTGCCTGCCTGCCCCTGCATCAGCCTACCCACATACTTCTCCAATCACCCATCAGTCTACGCACGCACCCCACATCCGGGCATCCTCCCATGCCCCCACCTACCCACCCATCTACCCATCCACTCACACAGCATACATCCACCTGCCCCCTAGGACCACTGGCTCACCCACCCTCTGCCTGTCCCCCATCTACTTACCCACACGACCACCCTCGCAGGCGCCCTCGCATGCACCCGCTGACTCCTCCGTCTATGCACCCATTCATTCTTGCCCCTATTCGTGTCCTTCCTTCCTTCTCCCTGAGCGTGAGCGGGAGTGGGCACCACACAGTCCCCCGCCCGTAAAGCCCTGTGGGGGACACTGCCTGGCTCCAGCAAGCTCCCACCTCGCCCATTTCCTCCAGCAGAAAGAGCGATCCCTGCACACTCCCTTTCTTGGCTGCCACCCACTGCTCTCCAGGCGCGGGGCCACCATGGGGTACCTCTCTATCACCCCCTCCCGCTCCTGGCTAGAAACAGCCCGGGTTCGGGTTGTTCAAGGACTTCCACTGCGCATGACCGCAAGGAGGTGCGCACACTCAGCCCGCAGGTCCCAGCACCGCCTCTGCGCCTGGCTGGGGGGCCCGTCCGAGACCCTCCCTTCCATCGGAGCTGGGCTGCCTCTCTCAGGGTCCTGAGGGGAAGCTCCCTCCCCGCTCAGTGTCAGGCGCACAGTAGGTGTGCAAGCAGCAGGGTTTCTGTAATGTTCGCGCCTTCCCGTCCCCCTCGTCTACCACACTCTGCAGGGCCACCAGCCTGAACTCGGAAAGGAGGCCCTTCCTACCCCCGCGGAAGGGACGAGGAAACCGGGGTGGGGGCGGAGGGGGCAGGCGGACGGGAGAGTCGTCTGAGGCCCCAGGGGGGCGGGAGAAGCCCCAGTCAGAGCTGGAGCCCAGGCCTCCGGGTCCCCCTCCACCCCCTGGGCCCCGGGCGCGCACTCACGTGGACGAGCCCTCCAGCTTGCCGTAGAGCCAGCCGTTCTTGGCCTGGGGCACCAGCACCTCCACGACGTCTCCGGCCGAGAAGCGCAGCAGCGTGTGGTTGGCGCCCTCCGAGTGGGAGACGAGGGCGCGGACCTTCCTGGCGCCCCCGCCGCCGCCGCCCGGGCGCTCGCCGAAGGAGTTGGAGCGCGAGGGCTGGGCGCTGCCGGCGTAGAGCGAGGCTGCGGGGCGGGAGGGCGCGGCGCACGTGGGCGGGAAGTTCGCCCTCGCGTCTACTCTCCATCCCTCCTGCTGCAGCGCAACCTCAGGCCCTCCTCCCTGTCCCCGGGTCCCTGGCCTGGGTCCCCGGCCTCGCTCTGCGCTGCGGGGGTCGGGGGCACTCACAGGCAGACGGCGTCCGGGGCAGGGACCGGCGATCTGGCTCCAGCTGGGACGCGGACCTCGCGTCAGTGGGCTCGGGGCCGTAGGAGCCGGAGCCGTGCCGGCTGCGGGGGGAGCCGAACTCTCCCAGAGGCCTCGGGGGCTGCGAGGGGAGACGGGCAGGGGAGGGTGGGGCGGGGAGGGGGGGCGGCGCCCTAGTCCTGCCCCCACCCCCAGTCCCAGGCGTTGGCGTAGGGGTTCGCGGGCCTGCGGCCGAGCCACCACGGGGGCGCCGAGGCCGCGCCGGGACGGAAGGGCCGGCCCGGGGGCGCCACGTAGAACGGGACCCCGGGGGGCAGGAGGCTCCAGGCGCAGGGCCGCAGGCCCCAGGGCCCCGCGGAGGGTGCCGGGGGCGGCGGGGGCGCGAACGGCGGCGGGGGCGCCCAGGGCCTCACCATGTCCAGGCGGGTGGGCGTCAGGCGGCCCGAGGGGTAGGGCGGCCCCAGCACGGGGCCCAGCAGGCCCGGGGAGTGGGCGCGCGACGGGCTGCGGCTGGCCTCCGACTGCTCCTTCCACAGCAGCACGCGGTTCTGCAGCATCCCCCGGGCCTGGCCGGGTGGGGACACAGGCGTCAGCCAGATCTGAGCAGCCCCTGGAATCCTGGGGACTCAAAAGTGGCGCCCCCGACCTGGAAACTCGGGCCCTGCAAGCTGAGGATGACCATTTTCTAGCCGGAAGGAGCCGAAGATCTCTATGGTGTCGCTTTGGGTTCGCCCACCGCCCACCCCTCCCCCGCTTTTGTCCAAGGCCCTCAGTTTTCCTTCAGGAGCTTCCCCTGCCCCCTCTCTCAGTCTGTGCGCTTTGAAGGCTCTGCCACTGCCGAATACAGGGGGAGGACTAGAACCCAGGCCTGGCCACTCAGGTTGCTCCATCCTCCTGGCTCCAGTGGTGGACTCAGGCAGGGCACTTACCCAAAAACTGGGGCTGAAGAACCTAATCCCAGTACTTACCCTGGAAAAATCTGGAAAAGCATATTTTTTCCCCTCACAGGGTTTGCTAAATAGGTAGAGGAAGCCAACACAGAAAACTACAACTAAGCAACAGACAGTAGCAAATTTCTGATGACACCTTGTGTGCCCCTGGATCCAGCTATACCTGAAATCCTTCCCAGTAACTAAAGTAATAAATACCTTTTCTGTTTAAGCCAGTTTGAGTAGTTTTCTAAAAGAGGCCTTTTGAATACAGTTTTTCCAGTCCATTCCTGTAGTCTCTATAAGCACTCCTTTTGTAGTATCCCCACTACACGGGCATCAAACTCTACTTGAATACTTTCAAGGACAGGAAACTCAGCAGCTGACCACAGAGTCCATAAGAACTTGGGGAGGGGAGGACTTTAAATGTTAGAGCTGCTGTGTGTATTAATGATGTTTTAAATTTTCTGTATTTTATGCTGCTACTTTGCTTTGCTACTCCAGGAGAGACTGCCCCTCTCGGGGCTGGATAGTTCTTAGAGATAGTAACCAACTGGCCTGTGGGCACACCTTTCAAGTGCAAACCAGCCAATCCAAACCCATATCCCCCACCACCTCCTTTATTTAGTCTTTCCCCTACCATAAATCACCCCGGAGCCAGGTCACACATGTGCAGAGAACACGCAGCAGAGAGCCCGCTGGAATTATTCAAACCCTCCAATCCTAAACTCACTTAAACGCCCTGCCCCGCTTTGCCCGTTCCTTCCCGTGGAAACCGTGCAATGGTCCTGGGCCTCCTGCTGCCTCCTGACCCAGCCCTGGTGCTGTGTGGCACGGAGTGACCCCTTCTCTTGGGGGCTGTAGTCTGCAATAAAACGTCTCTCAATGGCACGGCCTCTCTGTGTTGTCACTCAGCCACCTGTACGAATTCAATCCCAGGTACAGTCCAAGCCTGTGCACTCCAGCGTACAGCTCGCTCCTTTTCCATTGAAACAGCCCGCCCCCGAGGCCCAGCTCGAGACTGTGGCCTTAGGAATGATCCAAGCTTCCCCTGGCTGAGCGTTCACTCTGTGCCAGGCCCGGTGTTAAAGGCTTTACCGCTATTATCTTACTTGATTCTCGCGATAGCCCCAGGAGGTGGGTGCAACTATTATCTCTGTTTTATAGAAGAAGATGCCGAGGGTCAGAGAGTTAATGACTGGCTCAAGGTCTCACATCCAGGAAGCAGTGGAGTGGCCTGTGCTAGTCTTTCCATGATTTCTCCCTTCAGTCTGGCCTAGCTGCTGAAGACCTCACGGCCACCTCAGGCGGCAATGACAGAAAGGTGAGGGCCTCACGTCACAGGAGCACCTAGTCCAGCTGGTCACTAGGTGGACGCTCCTCTGTTTCCTTGCATAATTACTTAGTGAAACAGCACGAAGACAAAGGTCTCTATGCATTTCGTTCAGAGGCAGGAGCAAAGCGAGAGCATTAGGTTCCGCACACTATACTTTAAAAGGGGGTTTTGTCCAGTTCGAGAACATTCAGTGGTGCGCACCTGCCGGGGTGCCTGGGGGCTCTGGGAGTGATGGCCGAGGCGCCGAGCCCCAGCCTGGACAGCACTCAGCTTCACTGGCTCCCCCGGCCCTGCCTCCCGGCGCTTTAGCCAGTGGTTGGGAAGAAACACGAATGGGTTTCAAACCCAGGAGGAGACCGTGGGAGAATTTGAAAACATTTATGGAGTGGAAAAGCCAATCTAAGTTTGATACTAACCCCATCATCTATAAAAGAAAAGACTGATAAATTTGACTAAGTAAAAATAATTTCTTTTTTACACGGCAAGACTGACTATGAGCAAAGTCAAAGGATGAATGACAAATCGGGGAAATATTTGCAACTCATCACCAAGAGAGGGCTCCTTTCGGTAACTTGAATTGTGGCTCCAAAAAACTGCTTAAAAGAGGAGGCAGCAGGAATCCCTCCCTGGAGGCTCAGGCAGTGGGAGAGAGGAGGGGGAGGCGGGGGCCTGGGGCTGGGGTGGCCGTGACACTGGGGGAATGTCCGCTGAGGTCGGTCACTGGATCTCCCACCTCTGCTCAGCACCAGGGGGTCCCTGGCTTCAGATAGAGACTCGGGGAGGGGCCTGCGGGGTGAGGACTAGGGTGGGGAGGGCCGGGGGTGCAGGAGGCGGAGGCGCGCGGCTGGGGGCAGCTGACCGCCAGGGACACGCCTCCTGGATGGCAGCTTTGGTTTGCGCCTCTGGGGGAGAGAGCAGGGCCAGGCTGAACCCACTGCCGGCTCCATCATGTGAGGTGGGGGTCATTTCCCTCCTTTGCCAGGTGAGAAAGTGAGGCTCCGAGAAAGGAAAGGAAATCATTTGCTAGAATTCACAGCCAGGACACAGTGGTTGGGGAAGTAAATAAGACTAGAAAGAAATAGAAAGTAATGGAAAGAGCCAGGAGACTGAGGCGGGCGGAGGAGCCCGCGTGTGGCCTCAGGAGAGAGAGGCTGGCTGGCTGGGTTGGGGACCCGCTGTCTCTCATACATGAAGTAGAGCCAGGGCCTGCCGCGCCCTCTGGGCTCAAACAGTGTTTGTTGAAGAAATGAGTGAATGAATGAATGGTGTTGGAAGAACGCAGGGGCAAAGTCTTCGATTTATGAGGGCGTGGTGGGAAGACGGTGTCCCCGTGTCCCTGGCCCCTCCTCCTCCTGCAAATGCCGTCAGCCTCCTACCCAGAGGGGTCACAGCTGGGACAGGCAGGCAGGTGGGCAAGTCTGCAAGCCAGGAGGGCAGTGTGGGTCCTTGGTCCCTGTGGGCCCTTTACAGAGGAGAGCAGGACAGAACGCTGAGCACTGCTGGCTGGAGGGGCCGCCGGGCAAGGACCAGGACTGGAGTCCTGGGCAGTGTAGCCCACAGATACACCTGGCAAGGCAGCGTCGAGTGTCTCTCTGGAGTGTGGTCTGGGAATAACTGCTGTCTTTCCTGAGTTCCAGGGGTCCATAGGCTTGGGCTGCTGCTAGCCCATAAGGTACCTCTGCATAATTTATAAACAGGTGTCCCCTCTGGATGGATAGAGCCTGGTGGGCACACATTTGGTGAGAAAACGGCCTCTTTATGCAAAGAAAAAGATGCTCCTTTCTCTAGGCAAACACAGCCTGCACCAGTGTGTTCAGCCTAGAGAGCACAGCACAGCCCCTACTCTCAACCAGGCACCCTTGTGCAGTGCACAACCTGCACAACCTTCCCTAGCAGCCCTGTCTGCAGTGGTTTCTCCACATGAGTAGATTGAATGAATCCCCATCCCTGAGGCTGAGTGAGAGCTGATGCTTGTAACAGGAAGACCCGGGGCAGAGTAGGGCCCCACTAGGGTAGAGCTTGCTCCACTCCCCCACCCCCCAACGTTTGCCAGCACCTCTGCCTGAGCCCTTGCAGGTCAGCTCAATTCAGAGTGGGAACAGGACCATCAAGAGGCAAATGAAAGAAACAAGGTACCTCGAGGACCCAGCGGTCAGGGAGGGAACCCAGCAGACCACCCAGGCAGCTGAGAGAAGGGGAGATAAGCTTAACCAGGACTTGATAAGAACACTTGGGCGTCCACAGACCCTCTCGCTCCAGTGAAGTGCGAATGTAAGATTTAAAACTGAACAGATGAACGGAAAGAGAACAGTCCTGTTGAGAAAAGCACCGTGGCCTGACAGGTCAAGGGGGAGAAATATCTCAAAATACAGAGCAAGAATAAATGAGAGAGACACGGTGAAGGAGAAGGCAAAGACGCGGAGGCCCAAATGATTGGAGTTCCAGAAGGAGAAAAAGGAATGAGAAAGGAGAGACGATAACGAAACAGAAGAGGAAGCAGCTCCCCCAGCCTGAAGAAAGGCGGGAGATCGTGACTGAAGGGGCGCCGACAGGCCCGCATCTGGGCGGTGCCCAGACAGTACCTGAGCCCCAAGGACTCAAAGAAAACCTCCCAGCACCCATAGAGAAAGAGCCAGTTACTTAAAAGGGAAGGGAGCCAGACCAGCACCCAGCTCAGTGTCTGCAACACAGAGCGAGAAAACAGGAGAGCTCCGTCTGGGACCACGAGGGAGAAAGCCTGCAGCTCTGGGGTCCTTCGGCCACTGTCACTCACCAGTCAGGGGGAAAGGGAGACACTGGCGGATGGGCAAGGATTCAGAGGGCGTATCTGCCGAAAATACTCCTGAAAGTTCTCTAGCCACACCGGTTAATCAAAGCAGAAAGCTCAAGACTGTGGGAGAGAGGAAGGAGTGCGAGCAGTGCGAGCAGGGTCCCGGCCACACGCGCGTGAGGTTCTCATGGATGCTGACAGTGCCCTGGGCAATGGTGATATGCATAATCTAAGTAAAGCTGCTGCTTCGTTTTTTTTTTTTTTTTTTTTTTAGGAAGATTAGCCCTGAGCTAACATCTGCTGCAAATCCTCCTCTTTTTGCTGAGGAAGACTGGCCCTGAGCTAACATCCATGCCCATCTTCCTCTACTTTATATGTGGGACGCCTGCCACAGCATAGCATGCCAAACGGTGCCATGTCCACACCTGGGGTCCGAAGGGGCAAACCCCGGGCCGCCAAAGCGGAATGTGCACACTTAACCGATGCGCAACCGGGCCGGCCCCTAAGTAAAGGTTCTTGAAGTAGACAGGTCATGACGCAAGGAAATGGCCAGTGAGGGTCTGGAACTAAAAGTCCTGAAGTTTGTTGGCAAAACCAAGAGGTGGGGGTCGGGGAGGCTGAGGGGAGGAGTAAAAACGTTCCAGAAGTCTCATCTTAGAGTAGCGGGGAGCGCAGGAAAGGTCTCAAGGTCTCATCTTCTGGGGCGGGGGGAGCAATGGATCGAGTACTGTTGGGGTGCCAGCATTTTTTGGGAAAGATAATAGATGAATATGTGATTATGAAGGTCACAAAGTGACGTCAGACGAGTACAGAGGAAAGGAACAGCAGGATTCCCACATGAACAAAGGAGAAGAGGGGATGTACAGTAACTCAGCCAAACTGACCAGAACAAGAATGGAGAAAAAGAGGAAATGACACAGTAAATACAGTTAACTCAAGTTACCCAGAAAGGACAAAAGAGGTATATTAGCCGGTAGGTTAAACGGGAATGGACTGAATTCCTCTATTAGAAGACAGAGCCTGTGAGACGGTCAAAAGTCAAAACTGAGCTACGTCTTAGTAACAGAAAACACACTTAAAACAAAGAGATAAGAGGGGCCCGCCCGGTGGCACAGCGGTTAGGTGCGCACTTTCTGCTTCCGCGGCCCGGGGTTCGCCGGTTCAGATCCCGGGTGCAGACATGGCACCGCTTGGCAAGCCATGCTGTGGTAGGCGTCCCACATATAAAGTAGAGGAAGATGGGCACGGATGTTAGCTCAGGGTCAGCCTTCCTCAGCAAAAAGAGGAGGATTGGCAGCAGATGTTAGCTCAGGGCTAATCTTCCTCAAAAAAAAAAAAAAAACACCAAAAAGATAAGAGAAGAAAGTAGGAAGAGCAAATATTAACCTTAGACAAAGCGGAACTTAAAGCATCAGATTGGGTTATGAGAGACGTTATAAATGGCAATACTTACAGAGAAGGTGTAATACTCATAAACCCAACAGCAATAAACAACATGGCAGCCAAACATAGAAAGCAAAATCCATTTGAAACCCAATGAGAAATGAAAGAACCTGATTGATCCAGCAGATAGAACAAAGCAAGAGCATAGAGGATTTAAATAATATGATAAAATTAATACACAATAACTGAATAAACCCATGAATTAATGAACTTGTGAATGGTGAGTATATGCGTCCAGGAATGAAAGAATAAATGGTTCACACGTGAATGAATAAATGCATGAATTAGTGAATGAATGTGAGACTAAACAAAATCATGAATGAATAAATGACTGAATATTCGATGATACACATAAACACAGAAACAGATGGAGAGAGCAAATAAATAAAATAACTATGGCCAGAGAGGAAGGAAGGAGGGAAAGGCGGTGCGGCCAGCTCGCAGAGACACAGCCGGCGGCGCTCCGTCGCTGCCCCCGCCCCCCTGCCCGGCTCACCCGGCCGAAAAACTGCAGGAAGGTGTTGGAAAGCAGCAGGTGCTTCTCCGCCAGGAACCGGTAGCGCCGCTTCTCCTCCAGCTCTGCGGCCCGCTGACTCTCGGACACGAAGGCCTGCATCTGCGCGTGCAGCCGGTTCACGCTCTCCTGAGGGGAGAGGGGACTCTGGCTGCAGGCAGGGGGTGAGTGCCTCATCCCCCCCAGGAAAAGTGCCACCTGTCTGGGGCCTCCCTGTCCTGTCTGAGCCAGCCGCCTCCTCCTGGAGGCCTCCCCTGAGCACCCAGCCCATCCTAGCTCTCAGGCCTCCCTCTCAGGGGCATCCTCATCCTCAGGAGCCTGGGCCGTACGTGCTCCCAGCCTGGGCACTTCTCACAGGCAGGACCAGTGTCTGAGCCATCCTTCCACCCCCAGCACCCAGCACAGGGCTGAGCACAGAGGTGGGGCCCAGGGAGGTTGGTTGGTTGAATGGAAATGTGAATAAGCTGATTAATCACCCCCTGCTTGGAAGAAAAGATTCTGAAGAGGAGAGAGAGGAGTTTATTAGAGGAGACAGGAAAGGAGAAGGGGCCAGGGATGGAGTGCTGAGCTCGGGAGGAGGGCTGGCCTTATCGGGAGCAGGACTCCACTGCCGGGGCAGGAGGGAGGGAGAGGATGCTGGGGCTGCTGGTGGATTACACCGGTGCCACCGTGACCAGGAGCAGCATGATGACGGATGGCCTCAGGTTTTCTCAGCAGAAGGGGGGAGGCCCGGGTGACCTGGGGAGGGCCAGGGAGTGACAGGCGAGGAGCAGTTCTGAACGTGTTCCTGAGGGCCAGGGATGCCCCCCCCACCAGGGGCGGCCTGACCTCTCCAGCTGCGCTCCCCACAGAGGGTGGGGTGAGCCCCACTCCTGGAGTTGGGCCGGCGCTGGCCGGGGAGCTCAGGAGGGTGTCAGGGGGTCCCCCCAGAGCCTTGCCCCCAGCCCTTGTACCTTCATCTCCCGTGCATTCTTGTCCCTCTTGCGCTCCATGTGCCACAGCTCGGACATGCACTTCTCCAGGTTGGCGGCTCGGTGGCGGTACTCAATCTCATAGTGCTGGCGGCTGTCCTTGGGGTGTCGAGAGAGCATGGAGACCTCATGTCAGAGAGCTCAAGACACCCAGCCCATGGGTCAGAGCACGGGACAGGGGCAGGGGGCAGGGTGTTCAGCTGGCAATGTGTATAACGTGGGGCCAGTCAATGTGCAGTGCAGGCCTCAGGGTGTCCGTCTGTCAGATGGGAGAGGCAGTCCTGCCTGTGATGGGCAGGGGCCCAAGGTGGGATGGCCAGACTCACTTTGATGAATTGCATGTCCAACTTGGTGTTCTTCTCCATGTGCTGCAGCAGGTCTCCATGGAATGTCTGCACCTGTGTGGAGTGCAGGATGGGGATGATCAGGGCGGCCTTATCATTCCCAGGCCCTAAGATCGCTTGTACGGCCTACTCAGATCCATTGCCCACCGCGTTCCTAACACACCAGGCCCCTGCCTAGTCGTCAGAGAAATGGGCATAATGAGAGCCCTTGGTTGGAGGGAGGACTAAACAGTCAGACATGTGAAACATTTAGTGCAGTATCTGGCTTGAAACGCACCCTTGATAAAAGTGTCCACGTCTTCTGGTTCTTAGCCTCAGTCTGTGCTCTCATGATGCCTTTCCCTCTGCCTGGAGTTCCCTACCCATCTCCAAACACCAGCTTCCCTGCTCCCTCTGCTGGGAGGCCTTTCTGCTGCCCCCGGCAGAGGCCATTGCTCTCTCAATTTGCTTCTGGAGTGTGTAGACCTTTGCTCGTTTGTTGTTCACTCCTCCAGCCACAGGACAGGACTTCTTGCCGGGCCCCTGGGCGTAGCCCCTTGGGACAAGCAGTGAGCCACTGTGGGCGTGAACCAAGTCTGACCCGTCTCTGTGTCCCCGGCACTGTGGGCAGGGCCTGGCCCAGCGAAAGCGCTCAGAACTGTTGAGGCCTTAGCTGGGGGGTGGCGGGTTCCCATGACAGACAGGAAGGAGGCGGCTGAGCACTTAGGTGACCAGGAGGCCGGAGCTCAGGCTCAGAAGAGCTTCATTCTAGTAGTTCCAGTGCTGCCTCCAATTTGCTCTGTAACTTTGGACAAGTTGCTGCCCCTCTCTGAGCCTCAGTTTCCCCATCTGTAATAGGAAAGGCTTGGCCAGATGCACTCTAAGGTCCAGCCCTATAAACCCACAGAATTGATTCTGTGGGCCCGGTGGTCACCCGCACGTCCCCCTTGAGCCCTGTCAGCATCCTCTGGGTCACTCTGCACTGTTGGGGTATCGGACCTAAATCCTCCGGGCTGCACTCTGTGCCCTTGGGTTCAGGCCGCACAGGAGCAAAGAGGAGCGTCTCCCATCCGGCTGCCACCGCCTCCTCTGGGGCCCCTCCCACCGCCCCTCGGCCTGCTGTCACACAGCCCTTCCCTGGCCGCCCCTGCTCAGCGGCTCCTGCCTCCTGCCTCAGGGGCCCCACGCTGAGCTGCGGGAGCTCTGTCCTTGGGGTAGGGCATTGCCCAGAGAAGGAATGCTGAGGATCTCCTCCCAGGATGCAGGAAAAACCATAAATTATAAAAGTTCTAAATTTTAAGTTTTTCTCCCACCCTCGTTTCTGAAAACTTGGTAACTGCCAGTCTATAAGGGAGCTTGAGTGTGGCCTCCTTGGGACTTGAACCCCTGAGCTGTGGCTGTCAGTGTGAGTGTGTGAGTGTGAGAGTATGTGTGTGTGTGCGTGCACGCATGAGTCTGAGTTCCTGCCGGACGAGGCCCTTTTCTGCTGGATCCGGGAAGTGAGGAGCGAGCCTTCCCCACCTGCACCCGCGGGACCTCCCGGTGAGGGCCTCCTGGCGCACTTGCCTCCCCCCTCCTGGCCCTGCCTCCCATCGAAGAGATGGTCCAAGATTTCTGCTGGAACACAAAACATGAGTTCTTGAGAATCCCCACCTCCTGCAAAATCGCGCAATATCCACAACAGGGCTTCTGGGAGATGCGGGCCTGGGGCAGACCCTCAGCAGCCAGGCCACTCTGCACCCAGAGCACTGATGAAGATGCCAAATGGTACCCGGGGAGACCAACTCGGACCACATCAAAGGCCGCAGGAAATACTTCAAATGCGTAAAACCAACAGAACGGACATGCCGGCTACGCCTTAATTACCGCAGAGCTGCCATGCGCGACAATGCAGGAGGAAGTGGGGCTGTCACGCAGGAGCGCCTGGGAGGCAGGGCCACCTGCCCAGCTGAGAGCCCTGGGAGTGCTCTCCCCAGGGAGGCCTGGGCACAGGAACTCTTTCAAAATGTTCTTAGAATACTGATGAGTTGGGGGCTCTCCCCTTCCCCCTAATCCTGTTTCCCCACTCCCACTCCTCTGGCCTAGGAAACCTCGCTTATGAACAAACACCTTCCAGGGCGTAAGCCATCACTCCTTCTTCCAGTGGAGGACGAACTGAGTCCCACCGTGGGAATGTCTGTTAGAGTGGGACGGCTGGATCACAGTTCTGCCCGTCACCACGGTGAGGCTGTGATTGCCGACGGGGCAGAGGACACAGACCCGGGATGCCCCAGTCAGACGGGGCCCAGGCACCCCCAGGTTCATGGAAAGTCTGCATCAAGCTCCTGAAGAAATGGGTCCACTAAGATGGTTGATACTTAAGTGACCTTTGAGCTCCTGCTGTAAGGGAGCCAGAGGACTGTCTATAATTAGCAGGTGGCTTCTGAAACAAGGAAGTCCCCAGCCCTGGGGCAGGCTGAGGAGCTCCCAGCAGGTCAGGACGGAGGCGGCCGTCCCCTGCTCCCCCTTCCGGGGCACGCGCTTCACTAGGGTCCTGTAGGGCCTCATGCAGAAGCTGAGGGCAGACCCACTGTTGAGAACATGCGCTGCAAACTCTACGGATTGAGTTATTCCAGGAACTCTCGAGAAATTCTTTTGCCATCTATACAGGGAAACCCTCTTGAAAGAACTGTCTCTGTGGGCTGACCCCAGCTCCTCCCATTTGCTCTTGAACCACCTTGAGTCAGGCCATTACCCCATCACGCCAACAAGAGTTTTTGTCAAAATCACTGAGATGCCACATTGCTAAGTCAATTCTCAGGAGTCATCCGATTCGTCCCGTCTCCACCATCGGACACGGGTGACCACTCCCTCCTCCTGAGACACCTTCCTCCCTCAGCGTCCAGGCGACCACCCTCTCCTGGTTTTCCTCGCACCCCTTGGCTGCCTCCTCTCTGTCCTCTCCTGATTCCCCCTCATCTCCTTGATCCCCTAAGGGTGTGTTGCCCAGGGTCAGGCCTTGGACCTCTTCCCTTCTCTATCTACACCCACTCCCCTGGTGAGCCCACGAAGTCCATAAGCTGACGACGCCCAGGAGCATATCCCAGCTGAGACCCCGCCCGCAAACTCTAGTCTCATATGTACAACTGATGATTCCACATCTCTGTTGGTTTTCTAATCAGCATCTCAAACTTACCGCGTCCTAAACTGAGCCCCGATCTCTCCCCTCCACCCAAACTTCTCCACACTCAATTCTTCCCACTTCAACTCATGGCAGCTCCACCTTTCCAGTTGGTCAGGCTAAAACCTTGGCATTACCTTGACTTCCCTCTGTCTTTGGCAACTGACATCCAACACATCAGAAAATCCTATTGGCACTGCCTTCAATCTGCTCTCTTCTCAACACCACACTGCAGCCACGCTCTCCCAGGCCACGTCATGCCTCCCCTAGATCACCACGACAGCCTCCTGACTGGTCTTCTGCTCCTGCTCTTTCCCACCACGCCTGGTACTTTGTTCTCAGTACAATTCTACTAAAATACAAGGCAAGCAGTGAACAACTGAAAAATGAAATGAAAAATGCCATTTATAATAGCTTCAAAAATTCAAATACCTGGGAGTAAATCTACCAAAGGACGTGTAAGACTGCTACACTGAAGATGATGAAACACTGCCCTGAGAAATAAACTACTGGGGAGATATACCATGTTCATGGATGAGAAGATTCAGTCTTGTCAAGATGATCACTGATTTAGAGATGAATGCAATCCCTATCAAAATTCCAGCAGGCTTTCTTGAAGAAATTGACAAGCCGATCCTATAATTTATACAGAAATGCAAAGGATCTTGAAAGGGCAAAACAACGTTCAAAAAGAAGAACAAGATTCTTAGACTACTTGATTGCAAGACTTACCATAAAGCTACAATAATTAATAGTGTGGTATCGGCGTAAGGATAGACAAATATATCAATGGAACAGAACACAAAGTTCTGAAAGTGGGCCTATTCAGAAATAGACCCACACCTATATGACAAATCAATTTTTGACCAAGACACCAAGTCAATTCAATGGGGAAAGAGAAATCTTTTCTGAATGGTGCTGGAACACCTAGTGTCTGCATAGGGGAAAATGAACCCTGACCCCCTCTCACTTCACACACAAATGTAAACTTGAGATGGATCATAGAAAAAATGTAAAACCCAGAGCATGGAGCTTCTACAAGAAAACTTAAGAGAATATCTTTGCCATCGGGGTAGGCAAAGGTTTCCTGCGTAGGACTCAAGCACAAACCATTTTTTTAAATTTCTAAATTAGCAGAGGCAGAACCCACAGGCGCCCTTTTGGCTTTTCTTGTTGTTATAGCATTAGCCCCATGAATTGTAAGGTAGTTTATTGAGTTTAAACAGATTCCACCTTTTGTAAAATGAAAAAAAAAATAAAGTGAAATAGCCAAATTGGGCTTCATAAAAATTTAAAATTTCTGCTCATCAAAGACATTATTAAATGAATGAATAGACAAGCTAAAGATTACGAAAAAACATTCAGTGTACATATATCTGACAAACGACTCACATCTTGGCTATCTACAGAGCTCCTATAAGTCAATAATAGGTGTAACCTGATATAAAATAGGCAAAAGACTAAACAAACACCTTACGGAAGAAGATATACAAATGTCCCATAAGCCCGTTGAAAGTCTTTAGTCATCAGGATATGCAAAATAAAGCGGCGGTGAGGTACCATTCCACACCCACTAGAACGGCTAGAATAAAAAAGACTGACAACATCGGACGTTGGCAAGGATGCAGGGCAACAGCAGCCTTCACACATTGCTAGCAGGAGTGCAGGCTAGCTCGAGAACTTTGGGGAACTCCTTGGCAGTTTCTTATAAAGTGAAAGATATATCAACCGTAAGACCGTAAATTCCACTCCTAGGTGTTTACCCAAGAGAAATGGAAACACATATCCACACAAAGACTTGCACAAGAATGCTCACAGCAGCCCTGCTCATAACTGCCCCCAAATGGAGACAATCCAAATGACCGTCAACAGCGAAATGGATAAACCACTTGTGGCCTGTTCATCCAGGGGAATG